TTTTGGGGAGGAGGGGGGGAGGGGGCGGGATCAGAAGGTTCAGTAAATGCCAGGGTAATTTCCAGTTCTTACCGGCAGGCGGCAGCACGACAATTCACAGAAAACAAAACGAGAAACCCTTTCCGACGACTAAAAATAACTGCAAACCCCCACCCCCACCCGCAAGGAAAGACTTTTGGGTGATTAATTTGTGCATTCTGGGATGCCTGGGTGGCTCAGCGGTTGGGCATCTGCCTTCAACTCAGGGCATGATCCTGGAGACCCTGGATCAAGTCCTACGTTGGGCTCCCTGCGTGGAGCCTGCTTCTCCCTCTATGTCTCTGCCTCTCTGTGTGTGTCTTTCATGAATAAAATAAGAGAAAAATATAAATTTTATTTATATCTAAATAAAATCTGGGGATCCCTGGGTGGCTCAGCGGTTCAGTGCCTGCCTTTGGCCCAGGGCGTGATCCTGAAGTCCTGGGATCGAGTCCCACGTCAGGCCCCCGGCATGGAGCCTGCTTTCCCCTCTGCCTATGTCTCTGCCTCTCTCTCTCTCTCCCTATGTCTATCATGAATAAATAAATAAAATCTTTTAAAATAAATAAATAAATAAATAAATAAATAAATACATAAATAAAATCTTAAAAAAATAATTTGTCAATCTGAAGTGCCTGGTGTGGCCAGTTTGTTATCAGCAAGTTTTGCTACAGTTACACAGGTTTCCATGCCAGGGTGTGACTTTGACTTTGCAATTGCCTCTCACTCACTCCTGTACCTTTTTGCTATTTAACAGTAGCCACACATTCAAAATATTATTGTCTCTAGTGTGTCTTTTTTCTCTACATGGGATGATCTTGGGCAATGTTCTCTTAAGTTTCTGAGTCTTTGTAGGCAAGACAACGTAACAAATGTTGAAGATTTTGGTGTTTTGTTGCATTTTTTTTTTTTAAGATTTTATTTATTTACTCATGAGACAGAGAGAGACCGAGAGAGAGAGAGAGAGAGAGAGAGAGAGGCAGAGACACAGGCAGAGGGAGAATCAGGCTCCATGCAGGGAGCCCGATGTGGGACTCGATCCCGGGTTTCTAGGATCATGTCCTGGGCCAAAGGCAGGCGCTAAACCGCTGAGCCACCCGGGCTGCCCTGGGTTTTTTTTTTAATACGTCACCCACCATCACTTCATTTCAAGACAATTGTTTTTACTTTTAAATGTTCCCTTCCAAATCTGGTCCATATGCATATATTTTTGCAAAGACATACTCACAGTCTGTTTTATCAATGCTGCATTTTAAAAGGAAGTGCATTTTTTTTCCTGTTCTCTTAGGCATCTATACTCTTCTGAGATCTCACCCACTTCCTTAGCTTCAAATATCACATTGCACAGAAAAGCAACCACATCTTTATCTCGAGTCAGCTTCTGTTATTTATTCTCCACACATCCATTTAGTCACTCCATGCACTGTGCTGGGGGCTGGGAATACAAATGTGAAAAGGTACGGTCCTGTTTCTCTGAGAACTTGTAAAGCATTATAAGGAAGGTGGTGGGAGGCAGGTTTTGAATAAATAATGCTGCAGTGAGATTGGAGGTATAGTGGGAATTTTGAAGAAAAAACCCTAAAACTGGCTTGGGTGCCTAAAACAGAGGTGGGGCAGGAGGCCAACAGAGCAGAGGAAACTGCATGTACCACGATATGGACGTTCAAAAGATTATAGTACCTTCTGGAAACCACAGTGGTTTAGTTTTGGTGAAGTGTGTGTGTGTTGGCTACAGAAAGAGAGTAGGGCTGGCAGGCTGGGGCCAGATCCATAAAGATCTTGCAAAGGATTTGAGATATTGTCTCGTGGATGATAAATATCTTAGTTCCAAAAAAATATATCTTAGTTCCCATCGATTTCCATTCTGCAATCAGTGATAAAGTATTTTGAAGATGAAAATCTGACTGTGGCTCACCCCTGCTTCAGGACCCTATAGGATCAAGTGCCTAGTTTTTAGCAGCAGTGAAAGGACCTTGCATGAGCCTCTCCAAATCCTTTATCATGTGCCACATTCTTCTTCATCCCAATTATAAATGGCTTCCTTGAGTTCTTTCTTACTCTCTGGCCTTTATACATGCTATGCCCTCTTCTAGAACACTCTTTTCCTCTTGGGCTAACTAGATTCTCAAACCTTCCCCCTCAGTCTTCACTGATCGTAGGCTAGATCAGGACCCCTGCCATAGGCTTTCAAAGCTGCCAATACTGCAAATGTCATACTCTCAATGGTATGTTCCCTTTTAGGCTGCAAGCTCTGTGACAGATCATCCTATTCTCTACAAAGTAGATGCTCTGTTGATGTTGTGTGGAGAATGAATGAATGCATTGAACTTTTCAACAGCATACTGGATATTTCCACCTGCATGTCTCCTAGAATGATGAACTCTACATGTCCGAAACTGGACATCATCATCTCCTCCCCTCCCTCCTCCCTACACCACCCCATCCCTGCCCAGTTAACGACTCCTCTTGGCTGACAAACTTTTCTGTTGTTCTCTTCACTCAAAACAAAGAAATCCAACTCTTTCCTCACTTCTTCCTCCTCTCTGCTCAGAAGCTAAGTTTTTCCCTTTCATTTCTTTTTTTTTTTTCTGGCCACCATTCTAGAATTACAAAGAAATGATAAAGTATCATAGTGGGGAATATATGCATTTTAGAACAAGATACGCCTAGGTTCAAGTCTTGAGTCTACTGTGTGTAGGTTTCCTTGGGTCATTTCAGTGAGCTAAGCCTCGGTTTCTGAGTCTGTAAATGAGGATATTTATTATCCGCCCTGTAGAAACACTATGCACTTCAGGTGGCAAATAGTTAGTCCTCTTATCATTTTTCAGTACATATCAGACATGTCCTGCTCTAAAATCTCCAGAGGTTGCTAATTACTTGACAATGAACCCTAAGCCATACATTTTGGCCTTGTCTCTCATTACTCCCCCACCCCACCCCAAATCCTAAAATCTGGGCAATCTGAAATATTGGCTAATTTCCTCACTTTTTCCTCCCTGCTTCCAGGTTGCAGTTCAAACACCAAGTCCTCCCTGATTACTTGAGCACTAAGTAAGCCTCTCTCCTCTGCAGTCCTGTATGCAGTTCAATGGGATTTAAGTGCAGCTGTTTTGTCTTGCATGCTCCGAGACTCTCTGGATTAGAAACTGCTGAAAGCAGAGGTTTGGTGGGTTCATCTATAACCTTGCATAGTGGCTCGCATGCAGTTGACGCTCAATAAATGCTTGGTGAAAGAACAACTCATTTTCCTAATTTCAATGGCTTCTTTTCTCTATAGAATCAGATGTTCGGTTATTCTCATCTCAGCACTATTTTTTTTAATTTTTATTTATTTATGATAGTCACACACAGAGAGAGAGAGAGGCAGAGACACAGGCAGAATCTCAGCACTATTTTGTTGGCTTCCAGGGAGCACATTACCATTAGATACGTTCTGTTCTCTTTAATTGGAAAGAGCTTTTGGAACTGAAAAATAGGAGTTACTTCTTCAAGCCTCATCTGCTGCTCCCCCGTTCTCACCCGCCTCACACAGGAATCGAACAACTTAGCATCGCACAGAACACGACTCTGTCTCACGCCTCCGTTCCTTTGTACAGGCATGCGGTTCCCTTCGCGCGGAGCGCCCTTCCCCGACAGCTCCGTCTAGTGAACTCCTACTCGTCCTCCAAGACTCAGCTCAGACATCATCATCACCTTCTCTGGGTGGCTATTCTGAGATGGGCAGAGTAGCAGTTCTCCCTCCCATCTTTTTAGCTTCCTCAGCATTCTCCCAAATAATTCTAACATTGCATATGGCATTTTTTTTTTGTTTTCTTCCGCTCCTCTAATTTTTTTTAAGATTTTATTTATTCAAGATTTTATTTATTCAATTCATTTTTTAAAAGATTTTATTTATTCAAGATTTTATTTATTCAATTCATTTTTTAAGATTTTATTTATTCACTTATTCATTTATTATTCATAAGATTTTATTTATTCATTTATTTATTCGATAAGATTTCATTTATTCATTATTATTCACACACAGAGGCAGAAACATAGGCAGAGAGAGAAGCAGGCTCCATGCAGGGAGCCCAATGTGGGATTCGATTCAGGGACTCCAGGATGACGACCTGAGCCAAAGAAAGATGCTCAACCGCTGAGCCAGCCAGGCTCCCTCTCCCGCTCCTGTAGACCTCGATTTCCTTAGGGCCAAGATACCTGTTCATCATTGTACCTCCTTTTTTTTTTTTTTTAAAAAAAAAAAACGCTTTGATTCGATCTTCATCATTTTTTTTATTTTTATTTTAATTTATGATAGTCACAGAGACAGAGAGGCAGAGACACAGGCAGAGGGAGAAGCAGGCTCCATGCAGCGGGAGCCCGACGTGGGACTCGATCCCGGGTCTCCAGGATCGCGCCCTGTGCCAAAGGCAGGCGCCAAACCACTGCGCCACCCACGGATCCCCCATCATTGTACCTCTTTACCCAACACCTGTATACCTATACCTATGCCTAGGATTAGCACGTATCAGGCACTTGATTAGACCCATGAGCGAAGAATATGTTCATTCGTCTAACAGTGCAGTTTGGACCGAATTCTCAAGCATTTCAAAAGCTGGTCCTCTATTTGGAGCGCTTCAGGATAGAGGGAGATTCCGACATCCCCCGGCAAAATCCTCGGTTTGATGGCAGGAAAAGGGAAGTGATTAGGCCGTGATGAAGAGTTACTCCTTCAGGGCTCAGCTGTCATTTACCCGCCTTGGCACAGAGAGGGTTACAGCGACCCAGAGGCGGGGCCACGTGGGTGCCACCTGCTCCGGGGCGGTCTGGCGCAGGCGCCCTGGCATCTAGACGGCGGCTACCTGCGGGGCCCCGGCCGAGGAGGAGCGCGTGCGCTCTGGGTCTTTTCCGCCGGGGGAAGTCTCGCGGGGGCGGGGCGGGGCGGGACGGGGCGGGGCCGCGCGGGGAAGTTCTCGCGGGACCCCGACGAGGAGCGGAAGCCAGGCGGCTGTGCTGCTGCTGCTAGCGAGCGGGCGGCGGCGGCGGCGGCGGCGGCGGCTGCGACGAAGCCTGAAGCGGCGACGGCGGCGGGCGCAGGCGCTGCCCTCGGGGAGCAGCAGCGCGGTCCGCGGCCGCTCGCACCGCTGCAGACGGGTCGGCCGGGCGCGGAGCGGAGCTGCTGCGCCACGGTGAGTACGGCCGGCGGCGGCGGCGGCGGCGGCGGCACTGCTGCTGCTGCTGCTGCTCCGGTGCTGCTGCTCCCCTGCTCGGCAGCGGGAGATGGCCCGCGAGGACCGGGCCCGGTCTACCGAGGGCTGCCAGGGTTGGGGATCGGGGTCGGGGCGACGAGGCCTGCCGCGGGGAACCGAGTCCCCCGGGCTCCGCATTTCCCTTTTTGGGGCGCTTCCTTCCTGGGGACCGTCCTTCCCTTAGCTTAGCTCGGGGCAGGAGGCCGGGTGCGCCTCTTTAAGTTTCACGCTTTCTCGGGGGACGGCTTGCGCAGAGGGGCCCGGGAGAACCCCGGGAGCCCTGGGTACTCATTCTGTGAGTCAGTCTGACTCGGCCCGGCCCGGGAGGCGGGGGATTCGCCGCGGCTGCAAGTGTGGTGATTGATGCTCTTGCGACCTGCACGGCCACCACGTCACCATCTCCCGGTGTCATTGGGCCAGAATTTGGGGAGGGAGCCCACCGACCCTATGAATACCGTGATTTAGAACTTTTGCTGCCGGAGCCAGCTGAGATGTCTAGTTTTTTTTTTTGTTGTTGTTTTGTTTTGTTTTTGTTTTTTGAAACCACACTGAAAAATACTTGTAAAGAACAATAAGCAGCAGTTGGTTGGAAATGCTCCGAGGAAAGGTTTCTGTGCAAGAGGATAGGAAGGCACTGGTATTTTTCATTTGCATCGCTCTCCATATACGCCCCGTGAGTTAACAGCTCGTTTAGGGAGTTCCTCTAAAAGGTACGATTTGCAGCGGAGCCGAAGTGCACTCGACCTGTGTCTTTTGGTACTGTTGACTCAGAAAAGAGCCCAAAAGACACATGAAAGAAGATAGCATATCTCTTTGGCTTTCCTGTCTCTCTCTCTCACTTTATACTTCTCCAGTAGTTGCCTTCCCTTTCTACCTACTTGTCTCCATTTTCACTGGGGACACTAAATGTTTGCTTGTGTAATGCAAGTCATTTGCCCATCCCTCCCCCCCTTCTTCTAATCTACTTCCCCTTCCTCCTTTTTGTCCCCTCTTTGGCATAATTTTTCAAGGTTTCTGCCCTTTGGTGCAGTTTGTCTTCTCCCTCATTTAAAGAATCCGTTTTCTCTCCGGGGAAGATACCCATTTTCCTGCTTTATCCTTCACTTTGAAGCGTCCACTGTGTTCCTTCAGTCAGCCAGAAGAGTTGCCAGAGAGCCTTGGGAGACTTTAAGTTCTCCCCCTGGGAACTGGGAGGCTCAAAGGATTGAATTCATCCGTAAGTAATCAATACTGTCACTAGGTCACAAGTGTTGCTTGCTTGTGTTATTTGTGTTTTAGTTGTTCTCTTCATTTTAACATTGTGCTTTTGTGCCTGCTTACACTTTTCTTCCTATGTCTCTTTTATACTAGTAAGGAAGATTGGGTCAATTTGGGGTTTGTAGGACTTCTTTTTCGGCTTTTAGTGGGAGTGGTGCGTGTTAGAAAATGAAAACCAACCTTAGACCTATGTTACAATAGAATTAAGATAACATTAAACATTTAAGGGAATAGAATTTCTTTAGATCACTGATGAATTAAAACTTGCCCATTGGGCAGCCCCGGTGGCGCAGCGGTTTAGCGCTGCCTACAGCCCAGTGCGTGATCCTGGAGACCTGGGATCGAGTCCCACGTCGGGCTCCCTGCATGGAGCCTGCTTCTCCTCTGCCTGTGTCTCTGCCTCTCTCTCTCGCTCTGTGTCTCTCATGAATAAATAAAATAAAATCTTAAAAAAAAAAAAACTTGCCCATTGTGGCAATTGGATTCTTTACCAGGGTTCTTGTAATGGGGCATCGTTGTTACTGTTCTTGGGGTTTTTTCGATAGAAATAACTGTTTCATTACTCCTTCCTTTGTCCAAAATTTTCTGAATTCCCAAAATAAAAACCGAAGTTAATTCTTGTAATTGGCTTTCTTTGATACTAAAAGCAAGCATTTAAGTGCTTGAGGCAGTTTACTCCCTTAGCAAGTGTATTCAGATTTGAGGGATCGCTGGGTTTTAAATACTACTAGTTGATGGTACTTAGCAGTTTTTTTGAGAAATTGCTGTTATGTTGCCTGTTGTGCAGCAGCAGTTCTGATTGTTGCCTAGAACAAAATAATAATAGATTTTGGAGAAATTAAGTAATACAGAATAGAGATGTACCATGCTCTCCTGAGAGAAATTAATAGTTCCTTGCTTAATTCAAAAGACTTTCCTAGCACTACTGAAAGGCTTTTGAGAGCCCTTGGTTTTATTTGTTAAAGTTGGCTTTTTCCTAGTTGAGCCAAGTGAATGTGCATTACTTTTATTTTATGCAAAGACATTGTAGTGCATTATCTGGAATGCAACGTTTGAAATCTGGTTAAGGCACTCTACTAGTACAGCAGTGATTCTTAAAATTTAGCTTAAGATGCTTAAGAATTAAGCATCTTAAAAAATGCTTAAGAATTACCTGTGAATCTGGGATGCCTGGGTGGCTCAGGAGGTTGAGCATCTGCCTTTGGCTCAGGACGTGATCCCGGGGTTCGGGGATCGAGTCCCGCGTCAGGCTCCCTGCTAGGAGCTTGTTCTCTCTCTGCCTGTGTCTCTGCCTCTTTCTCTCTCATGAATAAATAAATAAAATCTTAAAAAAAAAAAAAAGAATTACCTGTGAATCTTATTTTAAATTAGGCTCTGGGTCTAAGGCCACTACATTGCAAAACTCCAGAAGGCATCCCACAGTGAATCAGTGTCTGAATGAGACTATTTTGATGCAGCTGGTCCAAGGACCAAAACTGTTGTTACAGATTGCAGCTGTAAAATAGTCAGGCTGGAATGTGGCTTTAAATTAGTCAACTTAAATTACACTTTCTATATGTACAGAGTAAATATTTAAAAGCTTAATAGAATATGTGACGATAGATGTGATTAGTCTTTATATGTGTAAATATTTGAGCATTGTTAGGACTGATGTGGAGCAATTTAATTTTAAAGTTTATATTTAATAGGGCTGTTAATTTGCCTACCAGAAAGCTCTTCTAAGTTTGTATGTAGATAGAGGAAGGTGGACGATGGAGGAACATATGGACTGGTACTTGAAAAGACACTGGTGATGCTAGCCAGTTAACACTTCTTTTTTTTTTTTTTTTTTTTTCCCAGTTAACACTTCTTAGCATTTTGTGCCAGAGACTCCACGAAGGCCTTTACATTTGTTTTCTCTTTTAATCACAAAAAGTGTCCTCTCAGATACTTTATTACCCCATTTTCCAGCGGAGTAAAACTAGGAATTAGAGAATATAGGTTATTTCTCCAGTGTCACCCATCTAGTGGTAAAGGGATAATCAATTATCCCTAGACCCAATTCAGATCTAACTCTATAGTACCATGAAGATTTTGGTGTTTGTCTAAACTACAAAAGTAGTGATGAAAATACAATTGAGATGTGTAGTGCAGAAAGTAAAATTATTTCATGATCATGCACCTAGAGATAATTCATTGTTAACCTTTCTTTTGTCTTTAGCACACTGATAAATACTATTTTGCTTTATTGGAAATGGGACAAACTAGTTTTTCTGCATTTTTGTTTTTAATTTGATAGCATTTCTTGGTATTTATATAGAAGGATGCTTCTTATATATTCTCATGGATATTGATCAGGTATATATGTATTTGGCACATAGCATTTGTCACTATTTCATTGAGATAAATCTAGGAGTCCAAATTGCTTGTTCAAGAAAGTGTCTTTTAAAATTGTCAGTGTAAAATTATTATCCTATAGTATACTACTATAAAATTACCTTCCAGAAAGATTGAACTGATTACTTCCCTGCTACAGTGTGGGCTCTGTGATGGTTTTATTATTATAATCCAGTACTAAGCACATTGTCAGGCATATGGTAGCTGCTCAAAATGTTAAATGGATAAACATTAGATAAAGAATCAGTGTGTGTTCACCCAGAATATTGCAAAGGCTAAATATTATAAACTTTTTTTTAAAAGATTTTATTTATTTATTCATGAGAGACACTGAGAGGCAGAGCCAGAGGGAGAAGCAGGCTCTGTGCAGGGAAGCCCTATGTGGGACTCGATCCCATGACTCCAGGATCACACCCTGAGCCGAAGGCAGTCGCTTAAACTGCTGAGCCACCCAGGCATCCCTATTAGAAACTTTTTAAAAATTTGCTTATTAGATGGAGGAAATCTCATGTTTTGTTTTTGTTTTTTTCATTTTTATTTATTTATTCATGAGACACACACAGAGAGAGAGAGAGAGAGAGGCAAAGACACAGGCCGAGAGAGAAGCAGGCTCCATGCAGGGAGTCAGATGTGGGACTCGATCTCGAGACTCCAGGATTAAGTTCTGGGCCGAAGGCAGGCACTAAACCGCTGAGCCATCCGGGGATCCCCAAATCTCATGGTTTTAATTTGAAATTTTTAATAGTGAAATTGCATATCTTATGTTTTACATAGATTCACATTTTAACTTTGAGTAACTTAATGTTGAGCCCTGTTCAAAGCACTCCATTTATATTATCTGTATTACTTAATAGTGAGTGAACCTTATAAAATAGGTGGTACTATCCCATTATATGTATGAGAAATTGAGCTTGTTTTAAAAGGCTTGCTCAAAATTATGGCTGATAAGCATCAAGGTCAGTACTTGAACTCAGGTCAGCCTATTTTTATTTTAAAGATTTTATTTATTTATTCATGAGAGACAGAGAGGGAGAGAGGCAGAGGGAGAAGCAGGCTCCAATTCAGGGAGCCCGACCTGGGACTCGATCCCTGGTCTCCAGGATTACGCCCTGGGCTGAAGGCAGTGCTAAACCGCTAAGCCACCTGCCCTCAGCCTATTTTTAGAGACCATGTAGACACTAAGCTATATTACCCAGGAAGTGTTGTGTATTTTATTTTCTGTGAATTTTGGGAAGAAAAGAGTTAAATGCAAGAAAGAAAATAAAGTCCTACAAATACCTTTAGGAGACTGCATTTTAGGTTCAGTGCACCTTGCTTGAAATGAACAATTCAAACTGCATTTGTGTTCTTAAAATTTGCTGCTTGTGACGGACTGTAGGGTGTATGCTGGACAGCTTAACCATTCTTATTAGGATTCAGTATTAATGTGCTGTCAACCCATGTTCTCTGTTAAAATCATTATACTTGCATCTACTTTGTTTTCTTCTTTTAGTAGTTAGTGTCATGTATAAGATAGTTTTTTTTTAGGGGGGGGTCGTTTGTCTTTAATGAAACACACCCTTTTGAATTCCTTTAGCCTGTGTGCTCTTTTTTTGTGGCTAGCCCGAGATGCTGACCCCTTCAGGTTTTCTCCATGAGCTGCTAATTATTATTTGGCACAGCCACAGAAGTATTGATCTTGGGTTTTCATTTCTCTCAAACTGTATCTCACAAAACAGTAGTTACTTGAAACATGATTTTCAAGAGTCTTAGTCTGTTTATGCTTTCTCTAGGAAACCTGTGGTAGATGAGTTGGGTAATAGGAAAACCCAGTGTTGAAAACTGTCTTGGTTTTTATGCTATGGCTGTTCAGTTACATTGCAGTTGTATGAAATCCCAAATGACATAGAAGTTTATGCCCTGTTACAACATAGTACCTTGACAGTGACAATGCTTTGAGTTTCTGATTTTCTGATTTCTGTTTTTTAAAAATGAAACTCCTTATCTTTGTTAAATCTGCTCAATTGTTCTTAAGTTTCCCATGACTTTTTAAAAATTTTAAGGCTTTTTATTTATGAGAAAGAGCAGGCACAGCAGGAGAGGGATAAGCAGACTTCTTGCTAAGCAGAAAGCCCAACGTGGAGCTGGATCCCAGGACCCCAAAATCATGACCTGAACAGAAGGCAGACACTTAACTGACTAAGCCACCCTGACACCGCTATGGCTTCCCATCATTGATACATGGTCCCAACAATCTGCCCTGGAGACCAGTTAAAATAAATGAGCTAGTCAAGTAGAAAATATTGAAAATACTGACAGACATGTAGCAGAGATCTTGGAGCATTTGTAAAAAAAAAAAAAAAAAAAATAGGGACACACATTAGAAAGTAGGCAAAAAAGGAAAAGCGGTTATTAATGCCAAGAAAAAGTAAAGGATTGTACTAGAAAGGAAGGTTGCTTATAATTAAGTCAGCAGTGAAGAGTATTTTGTAATGTGAAACTCTGCTTAAACTGGAATATGTGATATTACTGGGATGGGGCAAGGGGAAGCTGGCAGGGGTGAACATCTTGCAAACGTTAAGTCATGGCTGGAATAAACTAAGAAACAGCAGTAAAAACATGCTATTTAGAAATATTTTAAGTAAATACAAAGAGAAAGCTAAAAACAAAATTGAGGGTGATTGTTAGGTGTTAGTGTGGGGAACTGCCTTTTTTTTATAAGCCTTTTAAAGGCTGTGACTTTCAAAATTGTATACATGGATTTTTTTTTTTTTTTTAGATTTTATTTATTTATTAATGAGAGATACGGAGAGGTAGAGAGACAGAGGCAGTGACACAGGCAGAGGTAGAAGCAGGCTCCATGCAGGGAGCCGGATGCGGGACTCGATCCCGGGTCTCCAGGACCACGCCCCAGGCTGCAGGCGGCGCTAAACCACTGCGCCACCAGGGCTGCCCTCTATGGATTAGTTTGATTTAAAAAAAAGCATCTACAGAGAATAAGTAAAGGGTGTTTAAGGACACACAAAAAGAACTACTTGGGGTGCGTGGCTGGCTCAGTCAATAGAGCATGTGACTCTTGATATCGGGGTTGTGAGTTCAAGCCCCATGTGGGATGTAGAGATCACTTAAAATTTAAAATAAATACTCTGACACTAATCTTACATATTTTTTAAATATTTGCTAGAACTCTGTCTTCCCTCTCTTAGAGCCAGCCCCACATGAGATATCATAGGTGTGACCTGATAGAATAAACATTGGTTTGGTTAATTAGTTTACCTGGGGTAGAATGTTTGGCTTTCAGAATTTGACTGAAGGACTTTTTATTACCAGGTGATTTCTTTCCTCCTTGGTAACACTCATTTCCTTCTAATCTTAATATTCCCAGCTGGTTTACTGCTTAGTCCATTTGCAGCTATGCATGATTAATGCCCCAATTGTTAAGTTTAGAACAAAAGAATAATAATCACCAGTGCCCCTCGGATGAGCTTTCCCCTAGGTGGTAATTATCCAAGAAGGGTGTCACTATAAATAATCTGTCCCCATTCTGCCAGTGTCAGTGTTGTTTTCTGCTTTTATTTAGCCTGTATGAAAACAGTATCTGAAAGCAAGAGTGGGGCTTTATTTTCCTTTAGTTAGGCGAAGGTCTAGATTATGTCCGTATTCATGGCTGGAGACTGCTACGGCAGTGATTGTACTGCCCACAGTTCACCATCACATAGGTGAACTAACCCTTAGGCAGGGTTATTACGGAATCTTTACCTGCAAAATGCAATTTGATTCATTTTAGAACCCCTCTGGCTCTGAGAAAAGCAGCTGTTGTCAGGGTAACTGTGAGAGGCTTCTGTTTGATTTACTGGCACCGTCTCCCCGCACTTTCTTTCCCCAGATAAGGCATCTGGCAGCTCAGATTCTGAAAGAGGGAGTCCTTTCAAGTGTAGTTAGGACTTTAGCTTTGCTCCCTAGGGTAGTTGGAAGTAATGTGGAGGCTAGTTCTGGAAATGCTGAACCTTCACATCTATTTCGAGTGCTATTGGGACTCCAGATCCTCGGGGGTTTTCAGGGGAGAGGGAGCCTTGGGCAGGAGCCGGTCTTCACCAACAAAAGGCTCCGACGCCGGATCTTTTTCTGGGTTCCTGAGCTTGCTGATCACAGTTTGGAAGCGATAGAGGGAGAGCTGCCTTGCTCAGAGTGCAAACTGAATTTTAAAAAGTTCCTAGGTTCACTTTGTCCTGCTTTCCTAGGAGCAGACCCAGGGTTGGTTCTTGAGAACAGTTAAAACAGCTCAGGACCAAAAGCCGGAATTGCTCGCTTTTGACTGGGTAGGGGACCCAGCGTTTTCAGAAGCCCAGAAAGCTGGGCAGGCGCAAGGAAGGATAGGCCTGTGTAACAAGAGCAGGGTGCCGTCCCCAGGGACAGGCCTTCCTTCGAGTGGACCGCATTTCGGGCCGGAGGAGCCGAGACCGTGAGGGGCGAGGGAGGAAAGGCGGAGACTGAGCGGCTCCCCAGCCGGTTCCTGCACCCCGCGCACACCCAGCGGGAAGGAAGAGGAAGTGTGTTCGGGAATAGCTCGAGCGGCTGCCGCCATTGGCCGGCGGGCCTGCCAGTCGCCCGGGGGCTGAGACTGCGAAGAGGAAGGAGGCGGTCGGGGCTCCTGCCTGCGCGCGAGGGAGGCGGGCCGAGCCCGGCGGAGCCAGGGGGCGTGGGGGCTGGGGCGGCAGGCCGATCGGCAGGGCGGGGCTGCCTTCGGTGCTGGCCACTTCTCTCACCCATCCCTCTTGTGATCCAGGGTGGCATTGTGTGTCCCGGAGTGCCCGAGCAAGCCCGGGAGAGCGGCGAGGCCGAGCCCAGAGCGCTGGGCGGCTTCGGCAGGGAAGACTCCTTCCCTCGGCTTCAGGCTGCTGAGCCCTGAGCAGCGCTCAGAATGGAAGCCATCGCCAAATATGACTTCAAAGCTACTGCTGACGATGAGCTGAGCTTCAAGAGGGGGGACATCCTCAAGGTAAGTGTAATGCCACGCTAATACTGAGATGGCCTCCTCTTGTACTCACCTACCTTCGTTTGCCCTGATAACACAAAGAAGCCGAGCTTGTTCTTTCTCATTGCCTACTTTTCCCATTTACCGTCGGGCGGGCTCTGGATAGCTGAGATAGATGGATGCTGAGTGGAATATAAAATATGACTTAGGAGGGTTGGTGTGATGTATGGTCTTTAACTGCCTTTGTGTGAATGCCTGGAGTATCTCTTATTTGCTTGTTGGTGGGTAATTTGAGTAAAGTCAAAGCAGCATGGTTGTGGCAAGGAAGTATATCAGTAAACTGATTTATCCCATTGGGATTTTTTTTTTTTTAAGACGAGGTATTTATGTAAAAGCACTCGGTTAATCTTATGTGCCTAGTCAAAAGACTTTTGCATTCTGGAACGTGATGCTGGTTGGTTAGAAATGAAATTCCTCTAGTTTAGAGGGGTGGTTAGAAGTATATGCCAAAATTCATTAAAGAACCTCAGCCTTTTTATTCTTTGTGAAAAAAACTAGAGTACTAAATCCTAAGGTTCATCTTGCTGTTGCACGAGTCAGATGGCGATTTTCTTAAAAGAAACTTGAGCAATTACCCCATATTATACTCTAACTGCACAAAAGAAACCCGCTGACAGTTTAAAAATAAGCTGCTTTCCACTTTGCAGCTCATTCTGAGCCCAAACTATTTACAGGAGGATTCGCTGTCCACCTGGCACATGGTAATTATGTTGTTTACCCAATTGACGGCAGCAGCTTGCCCTTTTGGATATGTAATTTATTTTTACAAGGGTGGGTGTTATCGAATAATGTGTCAGCTCTACAGGAGGAGAACCCGAAGCTTAGCGTTTGCATATTCCATATTCACTGCCTCTCAGGTTTTGACATTTTTTCCTGAGAGCTGTAGTCTGATGATTGGGAGTTTGCCACTCATTTGTTTACTACCCCTGAGTGAAATTATTAGAATTTTACAAAGAGGAAGAAAGTGGAAATGTAGAAATATGGTCCCCTATAAAAAGACTGCTGGGTTTTTTTTTTTTTTTTTCTTTTTTGAGTCCTGCAGACCCGTGGGTAGTTACTATTTTGCTCTCCTTGCCCGAGGCATAGAGTTCTACTCTGAAGTTTCTTGATGTTAGAAATGTAGGTTGTATACTTCATAGAAGGCCATATTGAAGAGCTCTTTAAGGAGAAGGAAAGTGTTTTTTCCAGAGCTGTTTTTGTGTTGCCAAACTTACCTCTGATATTCTCAAAGTCAGCACAGAATTGTCAGAAAGCAGACAGAACCAGCTGTAGGTTTTAGAGTAACATGAAATAGAACTAAAATAGAACTCAGTATATCTGCCTTTTCTGTTTCTATTTTCTTAGCTAGAAGTCAGAGGAAAGGAGCAAGCTTAACTTAGACTATTAAATTACTCTATCATTGATATACGGAGGGGTAATTTGATGTTTTCATATGTGATTACTGTTTTCAGCAGATAACCAGTCGTGCTGTCATCATATTGCTTTGTTCTGTTTTAAGATTTTACTTATTTATTCATGAGAGGCAGAGACGTAGGCAGAGGGAGAAGCAGGCCCCATGCAGGAAGCCCGAGCCCGATGCAGGACTCAATACCAGGACCACAGGATCATGCCCTAAGCCAAAGGCAGATGCTCAACCACCGAGCCACCCAAGCGTCCCAACTATCATCATACCATATACCTGAAACTAAATAAAACAGTGTATGTTAACCATAATGGATTTTTTAAAAAAGATTGGCTGCTCAGGTACCCACATCTGTAGCCTGTACAAAAACCCTGTGGGAACAGTTTTTTTTTCCCCAACACAAACTTCGATTTCTCCCTTAAGCTTACCCAAGAAACTTGAGCCTGGAAGCCTGGTAGTTCATATTTTTCTCTAAGTTTATCCCATTGTGTATTTAACATTAAGCAACAAAACCAAACTAGGGATTTGAGGTCTATTTTTAATAATTTTTAGGCAAGAACTTTGTTACCTCTTAAGTTTATCCTAGACCTAGACCATGAGCATCTGTAAGTTCTCCAACTTAAATTGGTAAACTCTTGAACAAGTGTGAAATGCTTCTCTCCTATCCTGTAATTAGAGAAGATGATACTGTTTAACATTCCCCCAGAAATTGTTCTAATGGGAAAGAAAGTGAGTCAGAGTGCTCACATTTACTTTCAGATTTTCTTTGGGGAGAGAAAAATGCATATATTTGGTTCTTTCCAATTTGGTAGATAACTGGCATATGAAGTCATAATGTCATTATTACTTTTGAATGGTGACCGTTAGCTGTTTATTAGTAATCTTGTGGCTTTACTCCAAAAAAAAAAAAAAAAAGTGACGATACAGTAGTTGCCCTTTGTCTTGAAATTCTGTGAAATAGCTGAGTGAAAAGAAGGGACATTGCTTTGTCTTAGAGCTGTTATTTTAAAAAGCAGGGGTTTCCTTCATTTGATTATTCAAGGAGTAACTGGTTTCATTTGAGTGGCTTTGATTTGATTTGATAGCTCTTTAGGATGTTAGCTGTGAGCCAAAACAGGTTTAAAAGTGGCTGGAGTAGCATTGACCACTTTCACTTGATTGAAATTGGGCTATATTTGCACTCTTGATAAGGGGGGACACATACACATCAGTACTGAATACATTTTACTTAATTTTTAAAAAGATTTTGAGATAGCAAGTATGAGAGAAAGCCAGCGAGCACAAGCAGGGGGGAGGGGTAAAGAGAGAGAGGGAGAAGCAGGGTCTCCACTGAACAGGGAACCTGATGTTGGGCTCCATCCCAGGACCCTGGGATCATGACCTGAGCCAAAGGCAGACGCTTTACTGCCACCGAGGCGCCCCTGAATACATTTTATTTGAGGATAATGCAGTAGCAAGGGGCTTAGCCCTTTGCTTCTGACTAGAGTTCAGAAGGATTTCCTCTTCTTTCTGTCTTGGGGCTCCCGGTTAACTTTGGTGAGTTGAGGACCCCATCCTCCAGCAGATTACTTCCCTACTTTCCATCTACATGCTGACTTGTGCTGCCCTGAGAAAAGAGAAAAACAAAAACATTTTACTGGAAGCCTAAAATAGAACTCAGTATATCTGCCTTTGTTCCTCTTATAAAAGCATGTGTTTTTTGGAGAGGAGGAGGAGAAGGGCATTGGAGCAGAGAAATGGAAGAATTTGCTCTTCTGTTGCAGGTTTGCAGGTTTCAGCCTTGCGTGGCTGAAATGAACCCAAATTTCCCTCCCGTTTTATTGCAGGCTTCAGATAGTCCCAGGGGTTCTCCACCAAACAAGGCCCCTGAATTCTCTACCCTAGAACACAATACATCTGAGTTGCATCTGCTGTTTTAAGGGCTTACATACCCATACTTCAAACAGTGCTGTGTATAGACCATTTTGAGCTCTCAAACCTGTGTTCATTGCATTCCAGAGCTGGCGGCTTTTCTACAAAGCAGACTTTTAATTCTAGAAAAGAACTAAATGATTCTGTTGGTTCTGATTGTAGAAAAGAACCAAGTGGATCATCTAAGTGTCTTCTGTCTGGCACTACCTACTTTTATCAGTTTTCAGTACTGCTTTAGAAATACGTTTTGAGGGATACCTGGATGGCTTATTGGAATGTGCACCTCGATCTCGGTTTTTGTGAGCTTAGGCCCCACGTTGGGTGTAGAGATTGCTTAAAAATAAAGTCTTTAAAAAAAAAAAATAGGTCTCGGGATCACAGTCAGCTTTTTGAAGCTATCTTGGTGCTAATGACCTGTTTTAATGTCACATTTACTGAGCATCTCCTTGAGCCACATCCTGGGATAAGTTGCTTTGAGAGTTGGGGAAGAAATACTTTCTCCCTTGAGGAGCTCTAAGTCGAATAAGAGAAGTGAAATTAATATGTGAAACAGGATGTGGCAGTGTACAAAATTAGAGGATTTTTAGAACAGAAGACCTTTTAAAATCTCTTAATTTCGATTTTTATTACTTTTTAGATGAGGAAATAGCCCATAGAGTTAAATGATCCATCCAGGATCACAACTATTAGTACTTAGTAAGGAATACCTTTAATGGGATGCTGAGTTTTGTGACACACTAATTGCCAGAGTAATATAGGAAGGGCAGTGACTGGTAAGAGCTGATGTCTGATAGTGCTGTGTGGAGGGAGTGCGACTTGAACTTGTGAGATGGCTGTGGAGGGGGGTTGGGGAGGTGAGCTGTGGTTTGAGATAGGAATGCTAGAATGGGGTCGTAGACTGTGCCATGGTGGAAAAGAAGGTAGAATTGGAGCAAGATAAGAAAAACCAGCAGGAATTTGATCTTGTCCTTAAGAAGCCTTTGCAGGCTTTTAGCTGATTGATGGAAGTGTTCTGGGATAGGAGGGAAGCCTGGAGGCCCAGCCTGGGAGGTTGTAGTGAGCAGGCTATGAGACTACTGGGTGCATAGGTGTTGGAGACTAGGAATGAAGGACTGAGTGGAGGATGTTAAGAGTTGCTAAATGGAAAAATGAGGGGGATTTCTGCCTGTTAGCTGGGGACATTGGAATGAATCTATGTAACTGAGTAATGAATGCCCACTGAGTTTATTCCTGAGAGCCAGGAATCAGAACTGGGGTTTGATTGATAATAGTTTTCATAGCAGCCACAAGTCCTGAATTTGGATACAGGAGTCCTCTTTCTTTTTCTTTTTCTTTTTTTTTTAATATTTATTTATTTATGATAGTCACACAGAGAGAGAGGCAGAGACACAGGCAGAGGGAGAAGCAGACTCCATGCACCGGGAGCCCGATGTGGGACTCCATCCCGGGTCTCCAGGATCGCGCCCTGGGCCAAAGGCAGGCGCCAAACCGCTGCGCCACCCAGGGATCCCCCCCCCCTTTTTTTAAAAATTTATTTATGATAGTCACACACAGAGAGAGAGAGGCAGAGACACAGGCAGAGGGAGAAGCAGGCTCCATGCACCGGGAGCCCGATGTGGAATTCGATCCCGGGTCTCCAGGATCGTGCCCT